TGATATATCTCTTTTTTTCAAAATTTTGGAACCGCCATCTTGAATACGCCATTTTGAATTGAAAATTTTGGGATTTGGACTTCATATTTGTAATCAGCGACCTCGAAAACCTCCGAGTAAAGATTTTCAAGTTAATACACTGATTATGTTTTTCAATAATGAATTTCTCCGAAAAAAATAACATTTTTTCATGTTTGTTTATTTATATAACAATTATAATAAACAATTTTGCCAAATAAACCATTTTCCTATGTTCTCTTACTAATAAATTAGTATATGAACAAAAAAAAACCGGATGTAAATACTGCAACGATTACCGAAAATCGTCAGACTCGCGCGAGGTTAATGAGCGGCTAAACGAGAGAAGCCGCGTTCGGTTCGAGAGAGAGAGAGAGCGCCAGGGCAATGACCGGGAGGGGAGGCTCCGACCGGCAGTATGACTGTGCCACTCAGTCTGTCAGCGTCGTGCTAACCTCCATTTCGAAGTTTTCGTGCGTTCTCCTTGTGACATTGCGAACTTTGGTGTGGTGTGCTGAGTGCAGCAGTAGCAGCAACAGTAGCAGCAGTAATTGCAGCAGCAGCAGCAGCAATAACAGTAGTAGCAGCGACAGCAACAACAACTGCAGCAGCAACAGTAATCGCGGCGGTGCGGCGAGCAGCGAAGCGGCGTTCAGCAACTTGTTGTTCGGATACGGTTGGCCACCGTATCCTCATCGTCCTTGCGGTAGGTGCACCATCCCTTTTATTGTTATAAGCGTGCGAATCCGCGCAGCGAGCGCGAAGAATTTGTTTGTTGCGCGCGAGCGGTTAGTTCGCGGCGTCCGTGGTTTTCTCTCTCTCTCATTTTCAGCGTGTATTGTCATTCACGCGAGCGTGCGCAAGACTCTCGGCAGATTCCCCGTGTCATTGATTTTATTGAATAAATCAATCCTTAGTTTTATTTAAACGAGTTTCAGTTATTGTGTCTTTCCTTTGTCCGGAGGTCGCGTCAGTATTTGTTTACAGTTGATTCGAATTTGCCGGTAGCGTAGCACGAATCACGAAAATAGCGACAGGCGGGAATCTTCAACTTGGGTTCCAGCGGCGGCCGCACTAGCGCTACTAGTAAGGGCGACAGCGCCGCTAAGCGGTGAGTTGGGGGAACCCAACTCGGAATAGTGAAGAAACTCTGCGCAGGCGCACTCCGAGGCAAGGTAGGTTGCTGTGCTTTGAGCACAGAGATAACAAGGCGTCGTCTAGTCGTAATAAAGGCACTTTTAAGAGATTGTCGACTAAACGGCAGCCTGTTACAATACGTTAACAATTAATTAAATAGCGAAAATGTGAAGTCAAGTTGGTGGTAATTCACGTTACCACAGTGCAACAAAGGGTTAAGAGAATCATACACATACATCAAAGCGCATAATGTACAATAAAAGGGCATCATACCGTAACAATCATCAATAGCAAAGTAGTATAAAATAAGTCTAGTGGGTTGAAGGACGTGGGGTCAAGCCTCCGTGAGATCGTTTTTTTAAATTTTTTTTTATTTATTTTTGAAGCCTATTGCATCAGTTGGATATTATTTGTTTAAATAAGATCTAGGAAACGGTTATTGTTACATAAAAAAATTTTGTAAATCTGAAAAATATTTTTAATGTGGTTATTTTAAAGTGGAAAATAAAGTTATTGCACAGAGAAAATATAAAGTTACTGTAGATAGAAAATAACGTTATTCTCTGAAAATCTCGTTATTGTTGGTGAAAAAATAACGTTATTTTGTAATAACGTTATTAAACCTTCCAATTCCTAACACGTAAAATATCATTATTAATTACGTCATTAATAACGTTATTAATAAAGTCATTTTTTCAGCAGGGCATACACAATCCATTTTTAATAATTTTGCCACGAAAGGGATTTATGTAATAAACGGTTTTCGATTACAACATTTTACATTATGATTAACATAAAATGCAATAATTCTGCTTAAAAATTTATAGTTTGTTAATTTTCTTTAGCTAAAGCCTCTCTGTCTGCCTGCCTGTTTGTCTATCTATTTGTCTCTTTGATTCTCTCTAATTATGGTAAATAATAATAATAGATCATTTCAAATCTAAAGAAACATATTTCAAATATCGAGTCAATTTTGTACATCACATCTTTAGGCCAATCAAATGTAATAATTGCTATTTCATTTGACGAAACAGAATCAATAGAGGCTGCATTCTTCATCACTGTCTTATAGCATAGATAGCATACTTCTTTTAACATACTAGAAAATTCATTCCATTACTAAATATATGTAATATAATTTTTAAGGGTCACCAAAGAGTAAATGTACTTGACCAGCTGCTCAGCGAGCAACATGATGACGACGCGAGCGATGATGATTTTGTCGAGTATCGAAGTATTCTGGAAGGACAAAATTCAAATGCACCGCTAAATCGTTTACATAAAATACTAAACAGTGACGATGTACATGATATCATCAATGCTAGAGTGAATTTATCGAAAGCCGAGATTTTTTTAGCAGTTTTAAAGTTTTCCTTAGTTTATAAATTGCCGCAAACTGCTATAGCAGATCTTTTAAAATGTTAAACATATTTTTCGATACGACAGTTTTACCACAATCGCGTTATTTAATTGATCAAATGTTTAATTTTGAAGATAATGTTGAATATCATGCGCTGTGCCCCATCTGTAAGAACTACGTTGCACGGTTTCATAGGGAACAGGATCATCGAGCACGTTGCGAGACTTGTAATTTAGAGTTTAGTTTAATAGATCCCACGTACAGAGATTTTTTTAGCATAATTAATCCGGAGAATGAAATTGTTCATTATCTTCAAAACCATTGGGGTTATTACGAATCTATAATTGAAGCAAGAGCAGATGATTCAGAGGATATAATTGGATGTCACAGTGGTTTGCTGTATAAAAAATTAAGAAATTCCTTACCAAAAAATCGAAAAGATCAATTTATAACTGTAACGTTTAATACCGATGGATCACCTGTTTTTGAAAGCTCTGCCTTTTCGGTTTGGCCTATACAAATAATAAATGAGTTACTTTTCAAAGTAAAAACATCGCATTCATTAGTGTGCGGTTTGGAAGAAACAAACCGAATATGAATATATTCTTAGATCCATTTGTTTTGCAAATGAATATACTCTCTGATCAAGGAGTAACATGTAATATAAGAGACGCACTTCATACTATTTATGTGTATACTATCTGCTCATGTGACGATTCAGTTGCTCGGGCGCCAATGCAAGATCTTACTCACTTTAATGGATACTAGTACATCATAGCGCGCTTCGCGCGCTTCGCGCGCTCAAACCTAATGACATGAAAATGCATTGCATATACTTGTATATAATAAGAATAAAAATTCATAATATATATTGAAATATTAATGATACAATTCTTTATAAACATAATTTTTAACTAAGGAATCATATCTTTGATTACCTAGATAAATTTTTAATGAATCCCACGATCTCACTCTAGACATGGCAACATAAAGTTGACCATGATTAAAAACATCTCTTCGAAGATCAATACCAATTTTATCCAAAGTTTGTCCTTGAGATTTATTAATAGTTATAGCAAAAGCCAATCGAATTGGAAACTGTCGTCTTTTAAACGTGAATGGATATTGATTTTCACAATACAACGTAATTCGATTTAGAAATACAATGTTATTGCGCTTGTCGCCTGTCAATATTTTACATTTTAATAAATGATTAGAAAAATCAAGTACTTGTAATCTTGTTCCATTACACAATCCTTCACTAAGACTAATATTTCTAATTAATATCACTATGCAAAATTTTCGTAAACGCAATCGATGAGGAGGGAAGTTAGGAGGGTTCAATGTGTTGAGATATTCTGGTATAAGTACTTCTTCCATATCACCATTATTACAATTTTCAGTGCTATCTATGCCCGTGTAAATATGCTCTGTACTTTTATCTAACAAATTAGTGACTCTATCATTAATTTCATCTACATCAGCATTTCTGGCAGATAAAATTGCACAATGACTAATTTCATCAAATTTTTTCTCTTTTATTAACTTTTGCCGAAAATGTTTTGAACAATACATTCATTTGGCGGTAATATACATTGTTGAGGAAGCTCAATATTATTATCATGATCATTTAATGCTCCATTACCAACATCTAACAAATATTTAGCAAAATCAATTTCATGTGGTAAAACTCTCATGTTAGTTTTCAAATGAAATAATGAAAATAATGTCCATAATTGTGAGTTTTTAATAGATAAATTTAGTATTTCACTGCGCGTTCCATTGACTTTAATCGGAAGCAATTGTCTAAAATCGCCACCTAAAACCATTATTTTACCACCAAATGGTTGATCATTATTCATTATAAATTGTAATGTTCTATTTACAATTTCTAAAGCATATCTGGGAGCCATAGGAGCCTCATCCCAAATAAATACTTTAGTATCTTTTAAAATCATGCCTTCATTAGATTGTATTTTAATATTTGAAGATGAATCATTAAACATTGGAACTGGTAAGCCAAAAGTTTTATGTACTGTCTTTCCATTAGGTAGTAATGTTGCGGCAATTTCAGTGTATGCCATTGTTGAACATTTAATATTCTCTGACATTAACAGATTATAAATAGTAGTATAAATAAAAGTTTTCCCAGATCCCCCTTGTCCATCTATATAAAAGCAAGTAGAGCCAATGTAATTATCTGAACGTGATGCTTTCAGAATGTTATCAACTATTTTTTTTTGTTCATCATTTAATTTTTCATATTGTTGATTGCCAATTTGTAATCGATGATTTCCAATATCATTATCATATAGTAATTATTGATAATGTCAATCATTACATTTTGGTCCATTGATGGGAAGTCAGCAATACTTTTTCCTTCCATAATCAAAATATTATTTATTTCTGAGTAGGCCATTTGATAGCTGATATTCAAATCGTTGTTACGTGAAAAATCTTCAGACATTGAATCTTTAAATGTTTCCTATAATTTTTCTGGATAAATAGGTTGACAATGAATCAGTATAAGAACAAATAAATGTCTGAGACGTTTTGGCATCATCCAAGATACTGCTTCCCTCATGGCTTTACTCCATTCATCGTCATCTTCAATAATTCCTAACGCCAGACATGCTGCTGTAAAAGATGGATATAAAACATTATTTACTGTTTTCAGATCACCGAAACTGATAGCCCCTTTTACATGTAGTAATAATAATCTTAAATGGAACAGTTCTAATTGTGTTGGGCTTATTGAAAACATGCGACCTATACAATTAAAACGCCTTTTTCTAGTTACCCACGATGAAGTAAGTTGACTATTAACTTTTATTTTCTTGTATGTATAATATTTTGGGATTTCTGTATAATAATATTGTCGTGCTGTTTCATTATTTGCATTTAAAATAAAATAATCAAGTAACATACTACTGGAATTATTTAAACTTGATAATAATGATGCATCATCTTCATTCTGCATAATGACTGTTTGTTCATTAGGCAAATGTACTGGTAATCTTATAACGCTGTGACTTTTATCTTGCAATGTTTTACTAAAAATTCGATAGCATGCTTCCACAGGACCGACGTAACGTGTTTCAATAAAATTACGGCTTTCATCGTGTTCTATAATATTACTATTATCTGCTTGTCCAATGACGACTGTAGCGGCGTCGTGACCTTTATATATATATTTGTATAAATATTTAACAGCTGTAATACTTGAAACGATTTCCACGTTAATATGGCAATCAAAAATAAGTGATAATTCAGCACAATATGGAACTACCCATCTGTTATCAATTGTATGCCCATTAGAACCTTCATAAACAGATCCGGTATTTGTTCGACGATAATGTGGATAACCATTTTCATCCATAGTAGTATGTGGTTGGAATTCCTTAGGAAAATTTTTTGAACATATGCCTTCTTTCATGCACCAGTCACCGCAAGGTCCATGAATCATATTTCTTATAAGAACGGTATCAAATAAACGTGGATGTTGTAATTTTATTGGTATTTCAGCTGATATAAATTTATCAATTATATCGGTTGTAGTAATTTTGTAGCCTTGTTCTAATGTAATTAATAAATGCATGTGAGGTAATCCTCTTTTCTGAAATTCAATCACATGTACGTAAGATGCAACTTTTCCAAAGAATTTTTTTTTTACAACAATGTTAAGCAAATTATCTTTTTTCAAATCAAATACTCTGGCTACTAAATCAGGCCTATCAGCGGTTTGTTGACCTAACAATAAGTTTTCAGATATTTCTGGCCAATTTGGGTTACATGTCATTGTCAGAAAAATATCAGGTTTTCCTGTCTCATTTACAATAGCCATAGCATCTTGGTAACATTGTTGCATATACCTAGGCGAGCCTATAAATGATGAAGGAATAATCACAGTTTTACCCACACGCCCATTAACATCATTTGCACAATTCCTTATGTGATCATGTAAACCTTTATACGTATCAGCTCGTATTTCTTTTTGATGATTCTTGCAATATTCAATTCTATCTCTTTCAATTTTTACATAACTATCTACGACCCATTGTTGGAATAGTCTACGTCCTTTTATAATAGGATTGAATTCATTTTCTCTAATAGCTACCCGATATTTTGTATAATCTAAACGTGTGATCCTACGATTCTGATTTTGGCGAAGCATGTCCTGATGCCAACCGCGCGTACCATATGGGTAAAATAAAGGATAAATCCATGGTTCTACATTAGGATCCATAGAACTAACAAACTCTAAGATTTTTGTATTTTTATTTCTTATTGTGATATATGATTCAGGTATATCACCATCAGCAGTAGTTGAAAATATTACAGCAACTTCATTCACTCGTTGAAAGTTATATCTACGTACGTCTTGTCCAGGTTTTATTGAAAATAACAACTGTAATTCTGAAGACGATGTATCATTTCTGATATCTGCAAGTAATTGTTGTAAACGTAATTCTTCTTTCATCATTTCATAAGATTTCGCATAAATATTATTATTACGAATTCTACTATCTAAAGTTAACATTAAATCATAATCTGCAAGTGGATTTTGATGAATTCGATAATCGACTGCTTCGTTTTGATCAATTATAAAAAGTTGACCATACGACGGATTTTCACCACCGCTTGGATAAAGAGCTGTATTCATTTGATAATATATTTGTCCATGAATTTTGAAACAGTATGGACCTGATCTACGGGTTTGAAAATTGACTAAATTAGCATTGAATGACGCGAAAGATAAAGAATTATTATAATTACGTATACGATCAAAGAAAATCGATGATTTTTCATGTTCTCCACTGAATAAATTAATAAGTTCAGATGGGAAATCAGGAAATGGATCTAATACTACTGATCCATGACCACAACAGTCATTAAAAGATAGTCCTTTATTAGAAACTTTTTCATCTTTAAAGTGCTTTGCTTGACAATGTTGGCATAATATGTTCATTAATCCTAAGTAATCTTGTTCAACTACATTTACTTCTGAAATTCGATTACCATCAGCAATACGTTGGCGATCAATTTGTCGTCTACGACGTTGACCTTCTGTTTCTTTTATTCGCCTTTGTCGTTGAGCTATCTCTGCTTCTTCATATGTGCGTTTTCGTCGACCCATATTTTAAAAATTATGTGTTATAACGGGGTTTATATTTGCCCGCGTTATTTCGCGAGAGATCAATAATTATTTTATATGGCTCGATGCGGGCGTACGACAACCGTACGAGACTATGCCCGGATATTCAGTTACGCCTTAAGGCCCGCGGGAGCGTCGTGGACACAGCAGCTAATCTCTAAGTAAATTCACTGACGGAAAAGCGTGGAAAGTAGTAGAGTCAGGTGTAAATAAGAAAATAGGTTACGTAAAATAAATAACATTTATACAGCTTATAAGTTTACAAAGAAAGCAGTGCGGCGATAAAGAGAGAGAGAACGGCTAGCTAACGAGAGAGAGACAAGGTACGCAAGTAGGTACTTACAAGTGCGCGCGGGGCCACCGATGAGCCTTGTCGAATACTTGAATGCAAGGGAAACGATCAACTAGTTCGCACTAGAACAGTCCCACACACTATCTTGCAGCACTGCGCACTATCTACGGTAGGAAGCCTCTCTTCTCTACAGCCGCTGGGCCAAACCAAAACGTGATTTATTAGAGAGTGGGGAGCGTTCCCCCACTCTCTCTCCTCTACTCTGTCGAACCTAAGTCGGTTCCTGTCGCGCGGCCGTCTCTCTCTTACCTCGCACGCTGTTGTCTGCTGCGACTGCCGCTTCGTACATATAGTTACATGAGTTGATTTAAACATAAATATATAAGTATATATATATATATAAGAGTGGTTGTTAGAGAGAGAGAGACATAACGAGTGATTTACCACACGTTATATCCCCCTCCCCCAGACGTTGGTAACGCCGGCGGTACCGACTCGATACCTTGATCTCTCTCGTCCTGGGAAGAAAACTACCAGGGTATATGAAAGACAAAGACCGCTAATCATTGAGCAGGTCGGTAACTGTAATGGTTTAGGACAAAATGAGTAATAACTAGACTGGATAAGAATCATAACGTTTTATTACGAGTAGCCCCCTTATTCTCCCTCGCTTTATTTACAAGACTTAGAGGTTAGGACTGAGGCAATGCCCAAAAAAAAAGAATTAAAGAAAGTAACTGATTCACGCGGATTACAATGTGTTGTTAGATAGACGCAATAAGTGAAACGCGTAACAGGAGGCAACGGCCAAAAAAAAAGAAATGGTGATCACTCGACGAGGGGTCGTCCTCTTCAGTCTTCGGCGTAGCCAAAGAGGCGTGGGGACGGCTACTGGATGGTTCTCTAATGGACGGCCCTGGGGCCGTAATCCTCGAGGTAATTGTACCTGTCTGCCAGTCCGAGCTCGAACTTCCAGTGCTGGAAGAAGTTCGGGCAGTTTTCGGTCCTGCTTACGCCGGTGAGGTTGCACACGAAGCAGTACCGGACACCTCTTTTTGGCACATTAGGCCCATCCCACTTGCCACAGGGCTTGGTAGCATGCATGTGCTTCAGCGCGTGGTGCTGAGGGACCAGGTTCTGGTTGCCCTCGCAATAGTGAGCGGCTTGGGCCCTATGAGCCAGCTCTCGGCGCTGATCGAGAGAGAATTGGATCTCTCTCGACGCTAGGTCTTCGGCTTCGGCGGCGGGATTGGAAGGGACCTGTGACACCCCAGCAGGCACGGAAAGCGGTTTGACTTCCGCTTCCAGTAGGTTTAGCTGGGCTAATTGGCGCTGAGTTTCTTCTCCTTCCCGGCGCTTTTGTTCCTGGAGCTCCAGCAGACGAACTCGCTCCTTCTGGATATTTTTCGCCGTATCCCAGCGAGACGCTGCATCGGCTAGGAAAACGCGGCGCTCCACCTCGTCTTGGACCTTGGAGATCAGATCTTCGGGGGCGAGGGCCCGGATCCGTTGGTCAGGATGGTTGGCCAGGGCTAGGGCCTCAGAGTAGGCCTTGCCTTCGGCTTGCTCGGCCTTACGGCGAGCTGCACGAAGATCTTTTATCTCCTGCCTAACGGCCGACCATTGTTCTTGGGGGGAGACGGCATTGGCCATATCTCCTCCTTGACGGGTCGAGGCCGTAGGGGCCGGAAGAGCCGGTACCCAAGGCTTGGCTAGGGCCTCACGGATGGGTTGGCGACCACCGGCTGTATCGGCCCAGGTGAGGAGCAGCTCTTCGATTGAGGGGAGCTGAGGAATCAGCTCGGAAGGGAGTGTGGCCGTTCGCATGGCCATTTCGTTGACCAGTTCCAAAAGCCGGGTGGCAACGAAGCGCGGAACCTCGACCTTAACGGTCTCTTGCTTACCGGACATTTGCCTTACCGGTAACATGATCTGTAAGGGAGATCGTCGTTTATAGTACATGTATGAATAATAACGTAATATGTTCAAGAAAAAGCAAAAACATATTATATAAGAAGCGTTAGAGCGGTAGGAAAGGTTAGTGACAAGGCAGCGTATATTCACTAATAACTACGATGAGGGATTGTGTCTCGAACGTAGTCGGCGAGGTGAAAGTATAACTGGTGGCCACGCAGGCGGTAGATTTTGGGACTTACAGGGCCTGCCTCTTTTACGTGGGGGCTACCGCCTCCCGAGCGGGTAGAGCTTGACTTGAGTCTGGTTGAGAAGTCAGGTCAGCTGTAGGAGAAGGCGTAGCCACTGTAGTAGAGTCCTGAGTCGCCGAATGATCTATGGGATGCCTCTGGGTTCTTCTCCCGAATAGTTAAATTATGTTGCCCTTCTGTGTTGTCTACCGATTCTGAGGGGGCGTCGTGGGGGAATTATTCCTTGTCGTTGCATATTTTCAGCTGATTTACGGCTACTTTTCCAATATCTACTTCACTTTCTGATTGGAGCAGGTAGGAATTCATTCCCAGACGTTTAGCCACGATGAACGGACCACAGAATAGTAGTCTCCAATTGTAGAACCGCCGCGCGCTCCTCCTCGCGTCGAACTGTGCGAGGGGGCACTGGATGTCGCCCGTAGTTGAGGAAAGCAGGGCTTGAGCGAGTAGCTTCATGAATGGCTGAGTTATAGGCGAAGGTGAATTCCGCTATATGCTCATCCCATTTCGCATGCTTGTCTTCGATGAAAGCAGCAATCATAGTTTTAATAGTCCGATTTACCCGCTCAGTGGGGTTCGACTGTGGATTATACGGGGCGCATGTTCCATGGATCACCCCGTGTGACTTCAAGAACTCATCGACTAACTTGTTTTTGAAGGGCGTGCCATTATCCGAAAGAAAACGGTCAGGGGTTCCGAAGCGAAGGAAGACCCGTTGATTGAGTTCTTTCTTAATGGTCTTACCGTTAACCTTACGGATCGGAATACATTCGATCCAACGAGTGAACATATCCATAAAGATGAGCAGGTGCTCATGGCCTTGGGGCGAGCGAGGCAAAGGCCCCATAGTGTCACCGCAGACCACTTCCCAGGGTCGGGTAATTACGTGTTTACCCATGAGTCCTGCAGGGGATTTTTGTTCCACTTTTACTTGTTGGCAAATCATACAGTTACGCACAAAATGCGCAACATCTTTGTATATGCCAGGCCAATCATAGCGTAATACGGCTCGTTGATGGGTCTTATATCGCCCTTGATGGCCCGCTGTCGGTTCGTCATGACATTCCGCCAGGACTTTCTCTCGTTGTTCTCGAGGAACTACTAGCTTCCAGGCGTCGTCATCATTGCCCAACAAATCATCGACTATCGGGTCAGGCCGATAAACATATAAGCGGCTACCCACTATCTTCCAGTAGGGATGCGCTTTTGGATCCTGAACGACTTGCGAGATCTTGCGTCTATACCAGGGGTCTTTGGTATTGTCATCGAGGGAGAAAGAAGCTAAAGCGGCGGCGACATCCTCGTCTGTCTCGAACATACGCGAAAGTGCATCGGGCACGACGTTGTCCTTACCTTTGCGGAGCACTATATCAAAGTCGTATCCTTGAAGGCGTAACGACCAGCGGCCCAGTTTCCCATTGGGGTTCTTCAGATTCCTGAGCCAAGTCAGGCTATGGTGGTCTGTAACCACTGTAAAGTGATAGCCTTCGATGTACGGGCGACATTTCTCAATCGACCAGATTACCGCAAGTCATTCTCGCTCGGTGACTGACAGGCGACGCTCGGCAGCAGTAAGGACTCTGCTGCCATAGCAAATGACATAGTCGATTTCATTTACCTTTTGGGCCAACACGAAACCAATGCCCGTGTCGCTGGCGTCACATTCGATAGAGAATGGAGCACTAGGGTCTGGTCTAGCCAGAACTGGGGCGGAGGCAAGGAGAGCTTTAACTTGCTCGAAGGAGGCCCAATGTTCTTCGGTCCATACATATTTGGAATCTTTCCGAGTAAGGGAAGTGAGTGGTTCCGCAATAGCTGCAAAGTCACCCAGAAACTTCCTGTACCATGAGGCCATGCCCAGGAAGCGACGTAGTTGACGCAAGTTTTTAGGTCTTGGGTATTGTAAGATGGGTTTCACTCTCTCTGGATCCGGGCGGCAGAAGTATCCGTTGCAATGATCAGATCGTCTAAATAGGCAAAGGCAAAAGGCTCCATTTCGGGCGTGATAAGCTTATCCGCCAGCATTTGAAACGTAGCAGGACCGCCAGCCAAATCATAAGGCATCCGAGTAAATTCAAATAAACCCATACCAGGGACAGTGAAGGCCGTAATCGGAATAGACTCTTCCTTAAGCGGAATCTGCCAAAAGGCTCCCGAACAATCTAGGGCGCTTATATATTTGGCGTGTTGTATCTTGCGTAAAATAACATCCATATAAGGTAATGGATACGCCGATATCTTTGAAACCGCATTAACTTTGCGATAGTCTACACAAAACCTATACGTTCCATCAGGTTTCAGGATCATTACCACTGGGCTAGACCATTCACTCTTGGATCTTCGGATCACTCCCATCTGCAACATTTTACGTACTTGCTCGTGCATTTCGTCCTCAATTTTGTTAGACACTGGATAGTATCTTTGCTTAATCGGACGCGGGCTCGTGAGGTTAATTTCATGAGCGATCCACCTGGTGCAACTTAACTGTTCACCAGAGGTTTCGGGGATCAAGCTATGCATGACCC